ATTCTTCAGTAGAGGTTCAAGCACCACCTGCTGTGTGTTGTTTTAGTGTAGACCCTGGGTCAGGAACCAGACACTTGACAGAGGCATATACTAACTGCTCCATTACTTAACAGCAGTCTTCTTTACAGACAGCTCGTTTGTAGTTAATCCTTTCTTCCACTCAATGGAACTTCATGATAACTTCTGTTGCTCTTAGTGTCACTAGCCAGTACTGACATCCAGAAAAGATGCTTAAAGCAAGAAATGCCCCCCTGGGTCTCCCCCGGCCTGATCTGGGAGGCCCAAACAGCATGTTTTCTGAGGTCGGAGAGCTGAGTTTGAATCCTGACCCCCACCTCTGAGTAGCTGGGCTCCATGACTTTTGGCTTGACCTTCCTCATCTGTACAATAAAGGGATGATGAACATTACATCAAATAACTCAAATAAGATACAGGGGCGAAAACCCAGTTAACACTTCACAAGTGCTGTCACTTATACTACATGAGACCCTGACTATATCTCAAGCCATAGTTTACTCTGTGGACTCTATGAACTCTTTGACCTCCCATCTGCTTCAGTATTGAATCTCCTTGCCCACTCTCAGTCTGCCCTAACCCTCTCTGTTCTAATGATCTACAGAGTGTTCTCTTCTTTCAAGAGACTCGGGTTCATGGTGGGCCCTGGAGGGAGGAACATCGCAAGCTCTTTGTGCTCAGGAGAGCTGAGAGGTTAAGTTAGATAATTTCTACAGGAAAGCTCTAAACAGATCCAAGGGCTACCCTCAGTCGAGTCCTCTGAAGTCCTTTACCTCCTCAGAGCAAGTAAACTCTGAGAATGAGTCCAGGGAGCTAAGGGTCCCTTCTATATTTCCTCTCCAAGTCCCTGAGCCAATCTAACCAAAGACGAACCGACTGGGGAGCGGCAATTCCACACAGAGGGGAATAGGCAGCAAGGTATCACTATGTGAGATGCTCTGAATGGCTGGAAAGAGAATACTTCAATGGGGGAGCAATACTGTGTGATGTAGGACAAGCCGGGCTACACAGAGATGGCAGGCTCTGGAAGTGAGAGCCAGAGTCAGACCTATGTGGGAAGGAATCAGATTCAAACAAACCTCACTCCTATCCTTCAGGACTATCAGAAAACAGTGAATCTTAAATATTGTAGTTAAGTATCCGTTTCCATTGATTTTTTTCCCTCTCTAGTGTGTCAGATCTGGCCTAAATCAAATCAGCTCCTAAAGAGGCAAGTGCTGAGGCCTAACCCCAACAGGAGGCACCATGAACCATGAACATGAACATAGGTGTGGCCTCTTTCTGAGGCTCCCTCTGTTCCTCTGCACATGCATTTTCATGAAATAATGTGTAGCCTGCCAACTTCATTGTCATTTATCCCCGGACAATTTGTTAACTTCAAGAATCCTTGAATGCCAACCTGGATGTCTTTATAATTGCTGTCTCTGTCAGAGCCTGTGTGAAAAATGTCAGCCAAAGAATGAAGTCAGAAAGCAGAGTTGCAGTGTGTTCGTCACAAAGGTGACAACGACCGAAAGCATTACTTGCTTTCAGGACAGTTTTGAGAACATTTTCAGCTCCTGAAAGAAAAGACGTTTGTAAAATTGAAAAAGCTAGCCTGCTGACACTGACAGTGAATTTACAATGCACGTGTTAATCGGAGGAGAGACACAGGCTCAAGCATCTTGTAGGAAAGCTTAGGAGCCACATAGAAAAGGCTTGAGTCAAAGGCACAAAAGTTGAGAGACTCGTCAGAAACCATTTTAAAAAAGTGTTTGCTTTTTTTCCCACAGTTTCAGTACACAGATATAAATAAAATTAGCAGTATTATTTGATTGCTTCCTTCACATCAAATACATTTTTGGACAAGTCTTATTTTGGGGGAATCTGCAGTTTCCTTGTCTGTAAGTGAGAATTTAACCAAGCTATTCTGGGGACCCCATTAAGTCTACATTTCTTACACAGATTGACTTATAGTAATCTGTTCTTCTGATACCTTTTTAGTACAAATTCTCAAAACTGTCACTATTTAACAAAAATAAAGCAGTTGTTGGCCAACTTGGGCCCATGGGCCAAAATCCTTCCCATTTCCTCTTTTTATACTAGCTAAGTTGAATTACAACTCCACCACAGCTATTTGATGTCCATGACTCCTTTCACTTTCTACAGCACAATGGTACTTTGCTATCGTTAAGACAGACTGCATAGCCCAAAAGATGAGATTTTTACCTGGTTATACACAGGAAACATTGACAGGTTCTAAACCACCTCTATTTAGTTCCTTCTAAGTCAAATAATCCTGACTTCACTAAAGGCTTCACTTCTTTGATTAAAGAAGTGTAGATTCAAGAAATGCCCGGTTATATTATTTGTTATACGATGCACAGTTCTCCTGACTAAACAGTGGTTGATGATTCCTGTCCCATGAATATTCTAACTTGTTCTTATCAGCAGTTGGACCATCCCTGACACTGTGGGATCAACTCAGTCTTGTAGATCTCAGAGGCCCCTTCCCTCCACAGGCAGCTCTCTGAATGCCTAGCCAGAAAGCATCACTCAGAGAAGCCATGCTTTCTCCTCTGAGCACTCACCTTGTGCTGTATAGTACAGCATGTCTTCTCTTTAGTAACTCCCAAGGAACTTTTCTGTCTCTCTGAGCCATCTGTACTGTGGGTGCTAACACTGAACACAAGGACTGAAGTGTCCTGGGACTTCTGGACACATTTACTCTACGCAAAGCAGTCCCAGGCCCCATTTCCATTCATTCTAATAGTGTCCTCCTTCTCTAATTGTACTTGTGCATACCAGTTTACATTTGAACCAACATCACTCCCACTACCCTGCTTTTGTACCTATTGTGTCCCTCAGCACAGAGGCCTTTCCTTCTCCCCAGTATATTTCTCTTTATCTGGCTTTTCAGGAAGTCTCCTGTAGCTCTTGCAGGTCAGGTCACAAGCTCCCCCTCAGTGCTGCCCATCACATGGAGTTTGCCCCTGGACAATGTTTGTTGTACTGCGTGAGCTCATTAATGGCAAGCCTTCCATCTTCTTCCTCATTGCAGTGCCAAGGTCTAGCACAGTCCTTGCACACCATACTATCTAAGTGCATTGTATTAACTAGGAGAAAAATGAGTGTGAGGAAGCATTGCAACACCAGACCTTGAAGACCATTGCAAAAAAATCCAGACATGGAGAGCCAGGGCAGTTTTGAAATGGATTGCAATAATCATATGAGACAATCAGTCAAACTTTAGAAGAGAATGAAAGCTGTTTTGAATGTAGACAGAATCAACTGTAGAGGCAGAGATTCAAAGCAGCTAATTCAAGAGCAAAATTCACTCAGTGGATTCACTGAAGCTAAGTGGTGACAATGGAGCTGGAGAAGGGACGGTAGAATTGGAGCAATGACCTGTGTACAGAAGCATGGGGGAATTATAAAGGCAACAGACCCCTCCTCAATGAATCAGTCCCATTCAGAATTAATCTATATTTGGAACAGGCCCTAGAAGCACTTAGCTGTACCTATTCATTTTGTAAGCAAGCAACTTATTTCTAAGCCTCACTGGTAATTCAGAATCTTCTTGGGTGCTTATACACTGATGCAAACTCTAATGGCCCATCTGAGACCTCCTAAATCCAAACTGGAAGCCCCTCAGCTGTTCAGTTCACCTGCCTACTTTGGAAAATCCTGTCCACTTTGGCCAAGTTTTCTTTCACTTCATCCTTCTAAGCTTAAGCTATTGTTTCCTCATCTCTGCCAAACAGTGTGGGAAGGGACCTCATGTCTCTTCTCTTGATAGTCTTTAAGATTTATCCATTTCTCCCCTTTATGTATTTATTTTATACACACCTTCTTTGTTCACCTCTGAGATTTACTATTAAGAGTGCATAAAACAGATCATTTAAGCTGTCTGAACTCAAATTCCTCATCTGTAAAATGGAGATAATAGTACCTTTCTGAGGGCAAGAAAAATAAGACATAATGTGAAAGCAAAATGCATACACGTGGCACAGACCACTTCGTCTCCCTACCCTCAACAAAAGCTTGTCACAGAAGCTTGTCTTAGTTAAGCATCTTTATATCGCAATGTTGCCTAGTCTAGCAACCCATGCTTCCCAGGTGGGTGCTTAGAAGATACTAAAAACTCATGAAGAATAAATGAAAGAAGGAAGGATTGAATCAATCCGGCAATAAGAGGATTGACCAATGGATAAAGATGAAGTAAATATATTAACATATTGGTCTATAGTAACTATCAGTTGATTTGCTACTATGTAACCATCTCTGTCTATAACAGACTATTCTATCTATTCTCACCTCCAAACCTGGTTGCACATCATCATTTTTTTCTTTATTTTTTTCACCCACTTTCCTCTGGTTTTGTACTCTCCTCCTAGCTTCTCTCTTTTTTTTATTGTCAAGGTGATTTACAGAGGAGTTACAGTTACATAAGTAAGGTAATAAGTACATTTCTTGTCAACCTTGTTACCCCTTCCTTCTATTTTCTCTTACTTTCCCTCTCTCCCAAGCGCCCCCCCAAGTTGTACCGATCATTTCCAACATATTGTCTTGTGTATATTGCTGATGCATTGGTTCCCCCCTTGTCCTTTGTCTCACCATTGTTGTTCTCCTTCCCTTCCCTAATTCTAATAAATGTATATACAATACCAGGGTACCAAAATCAAATACATTCTTTTGAATGTATTTAAAAGAAACAAAAAAACCACATAGTACATTGAAGACAACAACACAACAACAACAAACCTCTCGTGTCCATGTCTTAGAGTTCATTTCCCTTAGCTTCATCTTATATGGTCATATATACATAGCTATGGAGCCATTCTGTTCATCTGCTAAGATTATCCTAGACGTATACTAATTATTCCAAATAAGGGAAACCATGGGTCCTATGTTTCTTTCACTCTGGCTTACTTCACAATGTGATTTTTCCAAGTCTTTCCATTTCCTTACAAATGGGGCAGTGTCATTCTTTCTGACGGAGGCATAGAAATATGGAACGCTTCATGAACTTGCTTGTCACCTTTGCATGGGGGCCATGCTAATCTTCTCTGTATCATTCCAATTTTAATATATTTGCTGCCAAAGCGAGCACCACATCATCAAATTTTAAGGGATCCCTTCAAAATCCAGTTTGCTAAATTCCATCTCTGATCTGGTGGCTGGTAACTCAGGAACTGGAAATATAACTTTTGCTTATTGCATCTGAACCACAGCCCATCTGGGGAAACTACTGTTATAGAGAACCTATAAGAGGCCATGTTGTTTGTTTAATGTAAGGAGATACATTTTCTTGTTCTACAGTAGTTATTGAAAGTTTAATTCCAATTGATTGTTCAAAATACATCCATTAAAGTCCAACATGTGTTTAATAGGTATATCCTATTACAGTCTTGTATTTAGGGCCACAGTCAAGACCTGACATAATCAGAGACACAGTTTAAACAAACTAATTACATAAGGGCACACAGAGGCTGGGCTGAGCAGGGGCCTTTGAACAGGACATATGCCTTTAATCAAAACCAGGCATTAGGCAAAACCAAGATACCCTAAGCTGGATCCACATGGCAAATTGGATCCTAAAACAGATGTTCTCAGGACCAGTCTGGTCTAGTGACTCCCTGAAAAAATACTGATGCTCCCATGTCACCCCAAACTAGAAAACTAATCTAAGCAAACATATTGATATGTGTCAAGGAAAGTGGGATACAGAAGACATGTTCAAATGTGTGCCTTTCTCTGCTGGACTCATGTAAATTAAAGGGGTTTCTAAACTGAGATCTTCCCTGAGGCTGGGTGACTAAGGTGAACTCTGTATGTGTATGTGTGCTAATCCTGGAGCTTGAAATCAGGGCTGGGTCCTTTCTCTAAGCTTTTGTTCTCAAGGTTAATGCTCTACCACTTGAGCCACAGCTCTACTTCCAGCTTTTTTTTTTTTTTTTTTTTTGGCTGGTCCTGGGGCTGAGCCCTGAGGCCTGAGCCCTATTCCGGAGCTTCTTTGTGCTCAAGACTAGCGCTCTTCTACTTGAGCCATAGCACCACTTTTGGCTTTTTTGAGTAGTTTATTGATAGAGATAAGAGTCTTACAGGATAAGGATTCAAATGATTTTTCTTTCGTGCGACTGTTTCTAATATATTTATAAGATGATTTTTTTTTGTTGCTTTGTATGTCCCTCCCCCATGGTATAACACCTGCTTTCACTATATTTGATGTTGGTATAATTTGTGGAGGGGAAGAGAAAAAATAAATCGTTTAAATAGGGATACAGGTGGACCCATTGCAACAATGAGGTATACAAGTCGTTAAGTTGAAAAACAAACTTTACAACTTTGGTCATGGGGGGGGGAGGGCGGTGCAGGGCAGGGGGGGGAGAAGATGGGAAGGGGAAACAAAGGAGGAGGCAACAATGCTTGATAAGAAATGTACTCATTACCTTGCCCATGTAATTGTAACCCCTCTATGCGGTATTTTCACAATAAAAAAAAAAAGTCTTACAGGGACTTCATTGTCTGGGCTGGCTTTGAACCACAGTCCTCAGATTCAGGCTCCTGAGTAGCTAGGGTTACAGGTGTGAGCCATTGGCACCTGGCTCAACTTCTAGTTTTTATCATGATTAATTGCAGCTAGAGTGTCATGGACTTCTGTCTGAGTTGGCTTTGAACTGCAGTCCTCAGATCTCAACTTCCTAAGTAGCTAATATTACAGCCATGAGCTCCAGTGCCCAGTCTGAGTCCAATGCTTATGAAATTGGTCCATCCTTCCTGGCCCTCATTCTTACTGCCTTGGAACTACAACTTCCAATAAAGCATGCACACTTAAGTTCTGTCTCAGGTTCTGTATCTAAAGAATCCAGACAACAAATTTAAGTGTTGGGAACTCTTCTGTGAAGTTTATATGCAATATAAACACATGTCCTTTGACTTCAGTGTTTATGTTTAGAGCCACCACATATGAATCTGTTATTTTCAAATGGTGACAGAATTCTCTGGATAGCATTAAAATGATGGGACTCTTTTGATAAGTTTCTCCCAGCATACTCACATAATCTGAAGCACACAGACTTGACCCAGACCACTTAAGCTTAGGTAAAAGAGACATACACTCTGCTCACTTTAATAAGGACTGCAGTTGTGTTGTGTTTATAGCCACCCCCCCCCCCCCCCCCCCCGCAACAAAGAAGCCTCTTAACTGGCATGCCTGCTTTCCCTTCTCTGTAAGGAGTACCTGGAAACAATGTATTTGTCTTCCTGGGGCTCATCATAGATTAGCAGGCACTTGTTCCAGTCCCTTCATGCTGCTAAGACAAAATACTTGTGCAATTTATAAACAGAATCTGATGTCTTGCAGTTCAAGAGGTAGGAAGTCTATGATCAAGGTGCAAGCAGATTCAGGGCCTGGCAAGGGCTCATTATTCTTCAAAGACGATGATGTCATGTCCCTGTGTTAATGAACTCCCGTAAGCCATTTATAGTATTAGGTCTGGGTTTAGTTTTTTGGTGTATATGTATACATATATAGGTTTTGCTATGTAGCCCAAGCTGTTCTTGAACTTGGGATCCTTCTGTCCCAGCCTGCTGAGTACTGTGGTTACAGTGTGTGCCTCCCTTCATAGTTCCCAAATGCCTTCCACAAGGGCACTGATTCCATTCCTGAAGACCAAGCCCTCCTGACCTAATCACATCTCAATGGCTCTAGCCACTTAATACAATCCTGTGAGGGTTAGATTTCCACATCTGAATTTTAGAGGGCCACAAACTTTCAGGCCATAGGATCACTAAGTAAGTACTCAAAGAACAAATTTTTAAAATGAGGTGATATACTTTCTAAAAAGCAGCTTAACAGTTGGTGTTTGTGTCTATGACATAATGATTAGCAGAAAATGAATGAATGAATGAAGAGGAATTTTTTAAATGTGAGTTCATTAAGGACATCTGTGAACTTTCTTCTTCCATAAGAGACAGCTGCGTCCCTTGACCAGGCCAGGCACCAGTGAGCATGGACACTCTGGCTTGCTGGTTCTTTTTTAACAAACTACTCCCAAAGTGGAATGACATTGTTCATGTCATGGACTAAAATCCTTTTTAAACTCCACCAGGCCCAGAGTCAGTGCCTCTGATGTTTCTGAGAGTTGATTGCTTTACAGTACAGCAAGAGCTCAAAAAGTTTACTCACTGCTCACAAACTCTTTAATATCTTATTTTGGCAGTACTGGGGTTTGAACTCAGGTCCTAATTCATGCTATTTTTCCTCATTTATTCTTAACTCTAAGTTAGATTTGCAAATTAGGAACAGCAAACAATAATAATATAGAATAATTACAATAAGTATATTACAATAAAACCTCCAATATCACTACATTTAGGCTCTGGGGACTTTAGTAAGGAAATAAGGCACAGTTAAACACAAGCCTTGTAATACTGAGACAGGTGATCTTTTCACTAAGACAGTCCTTAATGGGAAGGCAGAACATAGACAGTGGATACACTGGGAAAAAATAGTTCAGATCTTGGGCAAGACAAAGTAGAATGCCAGAGATTTCAGAACTGTGCGTAATTTGAAACATGAATTGCTTACTTATGAAATTTTCCATTTAATACTTTGGGAGCATGATTGACTGCAGGTAACGGAAGCCATGGAAAGCAAAACTAAGAGTAATGGGAAACTACTCTACCACTTTCCTTCAAGTGCTTCACATGTCTTTTGTGAATAAAAAAAAAAAACAGATAATGTGTGACCAAGTACTTGATATATTACCAAAGTTCTAAGCAGATGTAAGTTATTATATCACACCTAGGGTTCAGAAAGACAATTAGGCACCCACACTATACCATAGATTCAACTGTGATTAATGTATTCACTCTGGAAACTCTAGGAATTAATAACCATTTGCCATACATTCATTATGATCACATTAATTATTATAATTGATTGGTTAATTAGCTAATTATGGTTATAATACATTTCCATAGGAATTCTTTGGCAATCCAACATTAATGAATGCATGACCTTATCTTGATGCTAAACAGATCAAGGGAGTGACCTTCTAGCATGATTTTGACTTTGATCCAAAGAGGACATCACAGTGAAAGACAGTAGAGTAGGCATCATGTTTACAAAACCCTAAACATCAGGTCTTAGTTCAAAAACAGTCAAACTTTTTGAAAAGTCAAGATATTGAAGCCTTTTATAATAAGTAGTTTTAAATCCTTCTCATTCCTTCTTTGCAAAAACTATGCAGGAAACACAGGTCCATCTCTACTTCCCTCTCTTCTCAGAGCAAGATTTTTTTCTGAAAGGGATTAGAGGGACATCTGAGAGAGCTACAGGAACTAGCTATTAAAAGCTGGCCCCTAGCTTCCTAGTTAGCCCAGAATCTCAAGAAAAATGGCCACACTGTCTCCCAAGAATCTCAGAATTCTTTGGAAACCTCAAGAGTTGCACAAGGGCTGGGAAGGTAGCTCAATGGTAGGGAACTAGATGAGCACCTGGGCTCAAACCTATCATGACAAAAGAAAAAAAAAAACATGTTACTTAAGACTTGATCATACATACCTCTCTTAAGCATGTATCTAAAAGAGTCTAAAGAAATACAGAGAGTGCTGGGAAGTTAGCTCAGTAGTAGTGCTTACTTTGCATGCATGAGGCCCTGGGTTTGATTCCTCAGCACCATAAGCAGAAAAAGCCGGAAGTGGTGCTTTGGCTCTAGTGGTAGAACCCTAGTCTTCAGCTGAAGAGCTGAGGAACAGCACCCAGGCCCAGAGTTCAGGCCCCATGACTGACAAATAAATAAATAAATACAGAGAGAGATACCTGCATACCCATGCTTACTGCAACTTCTTCACAATAGTCAAATGGTAGAATCAGCTGAGGAGCCCAACAACTAATGAGTGGATAAAAATATGAAGTGTATGTGCCATGGAATATTACTTTCTCACATCAATTTACATAATTTTCAGGGGAGTAGATGGAGATTGTTGTGTTGAATAACATAAATCAACCTCAAAAAGCAAAATATTGTTCATTTTCACTCATTTGCAGAATCTACACTCTAAAGATGGATGGACAGACAGACAAATAAACAGATGATAGT